ACCCTACCCAGAGAAGCAGTGATGCCTGAGATGGAGGCAGAGACGATGACATGGAGAAACAGAGTGGCTGGGGGCTTTAGACCCAGAGAGGGAGAGAGGCGACCACGGGGCAGACTTGCAGGGTATGCCCTTTGGTTGGCTGATGATGCATGGAGGGGATTGTAACCATGACAATGAAATGATATACAATAGGATGTAAAGCTAATGTTCTCCCATGTAAACTATCACATAATTCACTATAAAATACTTAAAATAAAAAATGTTAAAAATCTTGAAAATAAAAAAATAAATAAAAGGGGAAATCAGAAAGGTTTAGCAAACATTAACACAACATAAATGAAAATGAAAAGAAAGCCCACAAACAAAATTAACTCAGTGCAGAAATTTATGTCGAACAAAGATTTGACACAAACACACACACACACAAACCAACAGAAAAATGACAGCAATCAGTTCATACCTATTGATAGTCACACTGAATGTAAATGGATTAAATGTACCAGTGACGTGACAGAGAGAGTAGAATGGATAAGAAAACAGGATCCTTCAAAACACTGTGTACAAGAGACATATCAAAAAAATGGAGACAGCCTAAATGCCCATCAATAGAAGAATGGTTAAACAAACTTTTATACACATATACAATGGAATCTTACAAAACCCTGAAAAGTAATGATGAATCTGTTAAACACCTCACAACATGGTTGAACCCAGAGGACATTATGCTGAGGAAAAGTAGCTAATCACAAAAGTACAAATACGGTATGAGACCAATGTTATAAAAAGTTTAATGAAACGTTTTCTTGATACAAGAACTGATCAATGATTACAGGGTGTGGGGTGGGAAAATTATCCAAGGGCTAGAAGGTAGAAACATGGTAACATGGTGACACAGAAGGCAATATACAACAAGAAGGAGGTTATAAGAGAGAAGATGAAGGTAGCAGGAGACACAGGGAGGAATGCAATAGTTAAAGTGTACAGAGGTAAATACTGTTAATTGTTGGTGCATGGAGGGGATTGCAATCATGTTACGAAGCAAAGTATATGATTTGTTGAGTGCAGAACTGAGGATCTGCTCTGTAACTAAATCTTCACTCAATTCACACACAAAAAAGTTGGGGGACAAAAGTATAATGAAATGTGCAAAGACCTGGAGTTAGAAAACATAAGAGAAGAACAGACTCCACATTTCTCAAGCTTAAAGAACTGAAGTAAAAACTTTAAGCCTTGGGTTGCAATATTGACACAATATGGGGAAAATGATGCATGAAGCCTCAAAAAAAAAAAAAAAATGGAAAGAGTGCTGAGAGTCACTATACACAAAAAAATTTATTAATGCTCAACTATTTCAAGAGGTATCATATATGATCAAGAACTGATGGTACTGATGGAAGAAGTCCAAGGTGTGCTGAAAAACATGAAAAAAAGGCTCCAGGAATCGATGGGACACAGACTGAAGTGCTTCGACCAACTAACACAGCACTGGAGACGCTTGTTTGTCTATACCAAGAAATCTGGAAGACAACTACATGACCAACCAATTTGAAGAGATCCATATCTGTGCCCATTACAATGGAAGGTGACCCAATGGAATAAAAATCATCAAACAATATGAATATTACATGCAAGTAAAACTGTGCTGAAGATAATGCAAAAATGGTTGCAGCAGTACATTGAAAGGGAGTTGCCAGAAATCCAAGTTGGAAAAAAAAAGAAAGAAATCCAAGTTGGATTCAAAAGAGGACATGTTATTAGGGAGACCACTGTTGATGTCAGATGGATCTTGGCTGAAAGCAGAGAACACCAAAAAGATGTTTTCTTGTGCTTCACTGACTGTGGTTAGCAGCCCAGCTCACAACTTACTACATTACCAGGGCTCCTTCATTTTAATCATGCTATTGTTATTGCTAAGTACCACCGAGTCAGTTCTGACTTACAATGACCCTGTACAGAGTTTCCAAGGAGTGGCTAGCGAATTTGAATAACCAAACTTGTGGTTCAAACTGACCTTACAGTTCAGCACATTACCCTGCAGTACCACACTAGGACTCCCATTTTAATAATAACTCATTATTAATAAACTATTTTTGTGAACAACATGTTGTTTTTGTTACGTGCCATTGAGTTGGTTCTGACCCACAGCGAACCTGCATAGGGTTTCTGAGGAGTGGCTGGTGAGCTTGAACCACAGACCTTGCGGTTCTAATAGACTTTGCAGCCCAGCACATTAACCCACAGCGCCACACCAAGACAAATTGATACTTAATGTAGTAACAAATAATATATAAACAAATAACTTACATCTTGTTAACTTCTTTGGACTCTGTGAAGGCACTACATCATTATCCATGTGTGAAAGTCGTAGTTCTGATCCTCCAGCAGAGGCCCAGCCTGTGAAAAAGAAATAATGAATTATTCATTGCTAATCAAGTAGGAAGTAGGAATAGAAAAATAAGAAAAGGTGAAAATATCTAAAAGGTCCTCCAATTTGGGGCTGCTATGATAACATTCTATAGTATAAGAGGTATGCAACTCATTATTTATAATTACAAACTTTATTCAAACATTATCCAAAGTTTGTCCCAGATGGATTCAGATTAGGCTTCCTTATATTTTTCAAAGTAAGGTTGAAATAAATAAGTTGTTTGTTAAGGTTTTTTTTTTTTTATATAAAACAATTACAAGTAGAGGAGGTACAGAAAGAGAAGTTCTAAGGAGTCAGGAAGAAAGGAAATGATCTGAGATGTCAGATCTTCAAGCCTAAATTATTGTTAGGTGCCACTGAGTCCATTCCAACTCACAACAACATTGTATAGGGTTTCCAAGAAGTGGCTGGTAATTTTGAACCACTGACTTTGTGATTCAGATGACCTTATAGGGTCCACTGCTTATCCTACCAGTAGTAATGTGTACATCCTTATAACTTGGACTTAGTAATCTCATCCTAGAAATTTTTCTTAAGGAAATAATTTAATTAAAGAAAACAAGTGTATGAATGATCATGTTTATTGTAGCACTGTCTGGAATAATGAAAACATACACGCAATATGGAAGAAATAAAGTAGATTAGGGTGTATAAATGTGGCAAAATATTGTCTAACCATTAAAAAGTGTCATTATTAACACTCTGAACACATAGGGAAATATTTGCCAAAACATAAAAAAACATGGAAAAAAAATATGCCATAATGAAAACCTAATACTAGAAAAGACCTTAGATTATCCTGTCTAAACTCTTCTTTAAGGAGCTCTGGTAGCATAGTGGTTACAAATCAGGCTGTGAACCTCAAAGTCAGTAGTTTGAAACTATCAGCTATTTCACAAAAGAAAGATGAGGCTTTCCGCTCCCGTAAAGACTTACAGCCTCAGAAACCCTGTATAGGGTCACTATGAGTCAGAACCGACTCCACAGCACACAGCCACCAAACTCTTCCTTATACAGAAGAGACAGCTCAAGTCCCATGACTGGGTTCCTAGAATATCCTCAATATGTCTTTTAACTCTCAGGGTAGCTCATTTTCCTGGTCTACATAGCAAGAGAAAAAGAAGTAGATATAAAGGAAAGGCCTAGTACAGCACTGTAGGATAAGCACTGGACTGCTAACCATAAGATCAGCGGTTCAAACCAACAAGATGCTCCTTGGAAACCCTGTACAAGGTCACTATGACTAAGAACTAACTTGAGGGCTATCAACAACAGCAACATTGAAGTAGAGTCCAGCACTAGGAGACAGGAAACCATATTTTGGTTTCAATGGCCTCATGACCTTGAGCAAGTCAACCATTGTGGGTTTCAAGTGCCTCCACTATTAAAATGGAGATGTTCTGCCAGCAGGGAGCAGACTAAGAGACGTTTTGAGTAGTGAAAATATTGCATTGTCAGGAATTAAGAGTGCTGATAAAGATGTAGCAATCTACTGCTGCAAGAGATGTGGCAAGTTAAGTGAAGAATGAATTGGTTTATAAAACCTCACTAACTATCAAGTCTATTGATCTGCATGCAAGAACAAGTGTTTCTTAAAAATTTTACTACAGCAAAACTATCCTGAATTATCACCTGAATTATCCAAGATAGAGTGCTTCTTTGCCATGTAATAGGATCCATTCTTACTTTTACACTAAGTCAGCAAATTCATATTAGATAGTTATTTTACCAATATCTATTTATTAAGCTAACTTCATGCAGCTCAGTTTGTTGTACTGTGGTGGCTTACGTGTTGCTGTGATTCTGGAAGCTATGCCACAGGTATTTTAATACCAGCAGGGTCACCCACAGTGGACAGGTTTCAGATGAAGACTAATTAGGAAGAAGAAAAATGGACTACTGAATATTTAGTCACTGAAGACCTTATGAATAGCAGTGGAATACTGTCAGCATCAGAATGTTGAATACTGAAACATGATGAAGACCACCAGAATATTATGAGATATAGTGCTGGAAAACGAGCCCCTCAGATTTGAAGGCACTAAAATGCAACTAGGGCAGAGCTACCTCTTCAAAAATAAAGTTGACCATAATGACGCAAATGGAGTAAAGCCCTGGGGACTTTCATTTACTGATGGGGCACAACTCAAAATGAAGAGAAACAGCTATAAACACCCATTAATAATCAGAACATGAAATGTATGAAGTATGAATCTAGGAAAATTGGAAATTGCCAAAGTGAAATGGAATGTGTAAACATCAATATCCTAGGCATTAGTGAGCTGAAATGGACAGGAACTGGTCATTTTTAATCTGACAATCACATGGTTAACTATGCCAGGAAAGACAAATTGAAGAGGAATGGCACTGCATTCATTATCAAAAAGAACAAATTAAGATCTGTCTTGAAGAACAAGGCTGTGATAGGATAATATCCATACGCCTACAAGGAAGACCAAAGGAGCTCTGGTAGCATAGCGGTTACAAATCGGGCTGTGAACTGCAACGTCAGCAGTTTCGAAACTACTAAATGTTCTGTGGGAAAAGATGAGGCTTTCTGTTCCCATAAAGATTAACAGCCTCAGAAATCCTGTACAGGGTCACTATGAGTCAGAACCAACTCCACAGCACATAACAACAACAACAATACAAAGAAGACCAGGTAATACCATTATTATTCAACTTTAAGCACTAACCACTAGAGCCAGTAAAGATGAAATTGAAGAATTCCACCAAATTCTTCAGGCTGAAATTGATGAAACATGCAATCAAGATGTACTGAAAATTACTGGTGATTGGAATGCAAATGTTGGAAACAAAAAGGAAGAATCAATACTTGGAAAATAAGGCCTTGGTGACAGAAATCATGCTGGAGATTATATGATAGCATTCTTCATTACAAACACCTTTTTAAAACAAATTAAAAGATAACTATACACATGGACCTCACCAGATAGAGTACACATAAAGCAAATTGACTTCATCTGTGGAAAGAGATGGTGGATAGGCTCCATATCATCAGTGAAAACAAGGCCAGGGGCAGACTGTGGAACAGACCATCAATTGCTCATATGCAAGTTCAGACTGAAGCTCAAGAAAATTAAGACAAGTCCATGAAAGCCAAAATATGACCTTGAACATATCCTACCTGAATTTAGAAATCATATCAACAACTGATTTAATGCATAAGACACTAATGACCAAAGACCAGAGAACATTAAGAAGACAAGAAAGAAGGAAAAGATTAAAATGGATGTCAGAACAGTCTCTGAAACTTGCTCTCCAGTGTAGAGATGCTAAAGCAATGGAAGAAATGAGAAGGTAAAAGAGCTGGATAGAAAATTGCAAAGAAGAGCTTAAAAGAGAAGGTCAAACATTATAAGGAAATATGCAAAGACCTAGAGTTAGGAAAACAAAAGGAAGAATATGCTCAGTATTTCTCAAGCTGAGGGAACTGAAGAAAACATTCAGGTCTCGATTTGTAATACTGAAGGATTCTATGGGCAAAATATATAATGATGCAGAAAGCATCAAAAGAAGATTGGAAAGAATACACAGAGTCACTGTACCAAAAAGAAATGGTTAACGTTTGACCATTTCAAGAGATAGCATATGATTAAGAGCCAGTGATATTAAAGGAAAAAGTCCAAGCTGCATTGAAGGCTTTGCCAAAGAACAAGGCACCAGTAGTTGATATAAATAATATAAACTGGTATCTTTCAACAAACTAAGGCAGCAGTATGAGTATTCCAGAACACTTAATTGTACTTCTGAGAAATCTGTACCTGGACCAAGAAGCAGTTGTTCGAACAGAGAATGGGAACACTGAATGTTTTAAAATTGGGAAAGGTGTGAGACAGGGTTGTGTTCTTTCACCATACTTGTTCAATTTGTATGCTGAGCAAATAATACG